TTTGTGTCTGATCATATCTTGATACTCTCTCTTCCTATAGGTTTGTACACTGTCTAGCCTAACTGGGTCCCATGTCTTATTGGGGCCTTTGGGCACTGCTACAATACAAACATTAAATAATATATACTAAATGGCTGGAAGCTGAAGCTGGACACCTTCAGACTGTAAATAGGGTGCACATTTTCAACACTGAACAACTTACCACTGGGTATGATGGATTCTCCATCACTGGAAACATTTAGATCAAGATTAGATATTTTTCTAAAAGATATGCTGAAGTTCAAACAGGAATTAATTCAGGGAAGTCCAGTGGTCAATGTCATGCAAGAGATTAGACTGGGTGATCAGAGTGGTTCTTCTGGCCTTATAATCTATGAATAAATATAAAGTTTTTGTGCAATCAACAATGGTGGTATTTTGTGACATAGACACCAGACTTTTAGCACCCAGACTAACCCAACCAAATCATTTAACATGGACTATTGAATAGTTGGTGACAACTTTCAGATGCTTTCACTATCAACCTGGGTCAGATTTAAACCAATGATCTAAAGGTGTTTATCATCACTGGTGCCTAGTAGCAGGAATATGCTACGGTTGAATGTATGGCTTTATATTATATTCCCATTATATTCATTTGAAAAATTAAAATAATCATGCCAGCACATGGCCTGACTTTGGTCAAGGTTTTAAATACCTTCATATGCATAATATATACATTGTAAGATGGTCCTGAATTACATAATCACATGCTTTTTCCCAGTTAATAGAATATAATATCACAGTATTTTAGAAAAATTGTACAAGGTGCATCTTGCACAGTACACAGGCAATGAGACAAAGCTCTTCAGGCTCTTCATTCTCTGTATAGTTCCCTATAGGTTTTTTAAGTGCTATAGAAAGCCCTAAGATAGTTAGAAACTATAGGAATATGACAGCACAATATTTCAATCTAAGCTATTACATAATCTTGCAAAAGCAGTATTGTACTATATGCATAATCTTTATAATTTCTAAATATTTATATTTCTAAATCTGTTCCTTTTTATGAATAGAGAAAATGCAGGAAGTAAATATCCTCTAGTGTGTTCACATGAATCTGGGTTATCTTATATCTTCGCCAAATCCAAAGCATACTTCAAAAGCGATAGCATCCCAGAAGACACTGTGTGTAAGGACATGAGTACATCTCAAGCTACACGGCATTCAAATTTTTCTGCATATGTATCAATACAGCCAAACAAACTAGGTTTTTTCATGCTTCAAAATCAGCTGATGTTCTCCACCCAAATGTCTATGATGTTTACCTAACCTGAAATTTAGCACTTTGCCAGTTCAAGAAATGACAAACTTCTACACAAAAGTTATTCTTACCTGAGGATATATGGATCGCCTCCCTGGCTTAGCTACCCCATATACTGTACATAGAATTGACAGGCCAAATTGTCTCCTCTGCAGAAAGTACCCACCTAAAGGACTGGAAACTCCACCAGGCTCCCCGGCTTACCGTTTTCCTTGGCAGCATTCCCTGTGGGATAGTGGTGTGTGCTAGCTAGTGGAGCAAACAGAGGGGTTTCTTTTTGTATATTTTCACATTTTATAATAGCAAAAATGGGCTTTTCCTGATTACTAATGATTGTCTGGGGTAATACCCGCCACACCCTGTCATCAAATTCTGAGCACAGGGCCTTAGCTGGTGTAAATTGGTGTAGTGCTGTTGACTTCAACTATTGATGAACTGGCCCAAGGTTTGTAACTGCCTGGAAACACCTTCCTTGTTAGCCTCTCCGGCTTAATTTACAGTTCATTTATAGCAGAATTTTGCAACATGAAGGGGCTGACCAACCTGACTCAGACGATGGCTGGAGAAAGCTGAAGCAGCCCAGATCCACCAGGGTATGTGCTGCAAACATGCAGCCTCATCTACTGGAAAAGGTGCAGGCAGCTATAATGAGAGTTGTGTCATAAAGATAAGTCACCCACTCATCCTCCTTCCCTGCTCTCCTTCCAGTCACAGGGTGGCTGGCCCTTTAAGAGGAAATGTTGACAAGATCACCTCACCTCTTCAGATGGGTAATAATGAACAAGGTAATAAAATCATCATAGGCTTAATTCAGGCCAGGTGTGGGGATATAAGGGAGGATGGGACAGACTCCTGGAGTAGTCCCTGAGAGGGGGAGCTTGAATGGGAGCTGGTAACATGCCAGCTAAGAGAGTAGGGAGTGCTAAATATGACAGAAGGCTGGAGATCTACAGCTGGCTGGAATAAAGCAGCTGTGGGTGAGTGCTACAGGGAATAACAGGAGAAGTTTGAACTGAACCCAACTCCAGGAAGGAGGGCTCGGGGCTTCAGTTTCAAGGAGAGAACTGTGGAATCAGTGGCCAGCTGGGCAAAGCTGGTGTGGAGTATTAATGTGTGTAAAGACTAAATAAATTGGATCCCGGAAGGGGAGTGTTTTAAAGGTCATTGGATTGTGATGGTGAATTATTGAGGAGCCCCCAGGAGAGAAGAGAAAAAGAGGAAGAGTGCTGCGGAGCCACCTGAGGCTGCAAGGGGTGGGAGGCAACTGCCCTGTTATAGAGCTACTCCTAAGGCTGGTTACAGGAGCCACTCCCATATACAGGGTGGCAGACCCTCCCCCTGTAGCCCAAGCTTCTCTTCTCTGCTTCCTTGGTATTCAGCTCAGGCTTGGGTGCACTCAGTAGTGCCCTGCCTCATGTAGCCTTCTGCTGAATGGGGAGGGGGATTAGAGAAAACAGAGGGGAGAGAAGAGTCAGCAAAATCACACAGAAGAGCAAAAAGTTGACCAGAAGGAAAGCGACAGAAAGAACAGATAGAAAAAAGGAGGGGTGACAGCAACTGTGGGGGTTGGAGGAATTCACCTCACAATCCATCCCAAAGAGGGGCTCTAACAAAAATCCCACCAAAATTATTACAAATAACGACTTTTGCTAACTGTCAGCTCTTTAAACCAGAACCTTGAGTCTGAAAGCCAAGCTGAGTTCTTTGTGGCCTAGAGATCGCGATTATCATCAGTAAATGTTGTGTAATCAGAACTTAGTGAACAATTTGCTGACGAAATGCAAGACAGAAAAGACTCCATTTCATTCTTCCATAGCTGTATGGGTTCTGTAGGATTTATGAGAATTAAAAAAAAGTATTAAAACCTTAAATTTGTAAGAACTATAAACAGATATTACCAGGAATTTTCTTGTTTGGGCCTCTTTGCACTAGTGAAATTCCATTTAACCACATATAAAGGAAGTAGATGGATTGAGTAAAGTGGTGGCATTTTTTACAAAGTCAGTTTCCTGATACAGACTGTACTATAAAGAAGCCTAATCCCATATATCCTGATTGTGACTTTCCAAACCAACTAGAGGACTTATCCTTACAACTTCCAGTATAATTGATGGGAGCTATGCAGCTAAATGGCCTAGCCAGCTTTTAAAACCTCAACTTCTTTCTATAGCCATGTCATACAAACCACTTGCAATTTTTTGGTCAGCAACAAAAGTAAACTTTATTTAGCTGGTATTTTTTTTCTTGAGCTAGGACAAACATACATTTTCTGTGGGGAAAAAAATAAAGATTGCCAATTTTACAGTTACTATGTAAATTAATTTTATTCAAAACTGATTAAAAAACTAACAAGGCTTGCCTAACTACATGAGGTAGTACATGTAGCAAAACAAAGGACAGAAAATAATACTCTGAAATATGAAGAATACCAATAAGTTTACAAGTTAGAAAGAAATAATAAATCCATCAGCAGAAACAAAAACACCAAAAATAAAGTTCAACAGCTTTTCAGTCTTAAAGCACAATACACTTTTCATAGAAAGAAACATAGTATCACCATTATATTTTCTTCATATACCATAATATGGTAAAATTAATGCACAAGGCTATTCACCATAAATGAATTAAAAGGAAATGGTGAGGCAATAAATGAGTAAATCTTCATTAGGCTCCATACCGCTATACGTCCTGGCCTGCAGGAGTATCCGCCAGGTTGTGAGAAGTAAGGGGGATTGGCCTTGTTACCATTTTCTTAACAGTGTAGAGATTGTGTTGACTGTTCACCCTCAAATCTATGTGTAGTACACAGATACCATGTACAGTTTAAGGCCTGAAAATTTCAATTACTTATGCATGTGGTTAACTTTATTCCCGTGAGGAAGGCCACTGAACTCAATGAAACTAGTCACAGGCTTAAAGTAAAGCTTGTGTGAGTTTGCAGAGTCGGGAACTTAATCATTTCAGTTTATTCTTCCTCTCAGTGTGAAAATGATCTTTCAGTGTCTGGTTATTTGAACTGACTGAGTTATCAACATCCAATAGCAGTGTGTTTATTATCAAATTTAATTTAGAAAATAAAAAAATGTAAATTGATCGTTCTTAACAAAAAATGTTTCTTTAAAGGAACACATTTTAATGGTCGTATCCATTTCCACTTTTAAAAAAATCTTGATATTTGTCTAATAATTAGTGTAAACTATAAAACACTCCAGGCTCTTCTTTTAGGTTGGTTATTGCTAGAGTAAATCATAAAAAGTGTTATACTTCTGACTTACAGGCATGATTTATTGTGTCAATTTATTGGGATGGCTATTTTTTAATGTAAATTGGATATAAAATCACTGGTCTATCCATGGTGTAGTTTTTAAGTTATTGTTAGTGGCATACATAAAGGTGTAAAGACTAAATAAATTGGATCCCGGAAGGGGAGTGTTTTAAAGGTCATTGGATTGTTGATGGTGAATTATTGAGGAGCCCCCCAGGAGAGAAGAGAAAAAGAGGAAGAGTGCTGCGGAGCCACCTGAGGCTGCAAGGGGTGGGAGGCAACTGCCCTGTTATAGAGCT